CAGCAGCACTAACAGCAGGGGGCAGGAATGTCTTCAGGAGATAAAGCAATGGAGAATATTAGTGCAGCAGGTTTTTGTTCACTATAAACTCATTTTCTGAATGAGAATACTCGGAGCTCTGCTGTTTTCCACCTTCAAATATTAGAAGATAAAGGCAATAAATTAGTTTCTAACCTTTTGTTAGACCAACACTTCTCCTAACAATGTTAAAGGGCCCAATATCATTATTCTTTAAAAGAAAGAGTGTGAGGTAGCACCCAAACATTGTTAAAGTTTTGAAAATGTACTGTTCACTTTCCAGTCCATGTAGTCCATAAATGCAAACTACGCTGTAAAAAGATGGTTTTATATTCATTATTTTTGTCTATGAGTCCTGAGGTGAATGAGGGCATATCAGAAACACTTGTTCTCTCTTTCTCTAAAAGTCAGACTAAAGCAGTTTGGCCTTATTCATGTTAACCCTTTATGGGCCCATTGTTTTATTACACACTTCTATATCCTAAGAAAAGCTCCATTAGTTTGCACTAAAGTCCTTGTAGTTATTGAATAATAAGCCTTAGTATGAAGTAAGCCTGGAATGTTAAGGAGTTAAAGTATAAGGAGTGTTTCAGCCCACACTGCTTTTTGAATGAGGCCCAATACAGGACAGCCAATCAGAGCATAACTCATTTATGTCAATCTTAAAGGCATAGTAACAAAAACTGCATAATTCAGTGTTCAATGTTTAATTCTAAAGGATACAGAGAGAGTGGAAATGGTAATGTAGAAATTAATTATGATTATTTTTGGTTCATAAAACCTCACAAATGTCACAAAAACATACCTCCGGGGAAAAATATAAAATACAAGAAAAATGTAGGATACAGGCCTTTGCTTGCTTCTCTGTTCAAAAGTGATTATATAATTACATACTTAATTACATAGCAAGTTACACAATGAACTACAATTACATTTGAGTTTACATTTTGTTTTGCAAACTATTTTGACTGTGCTTACAGCATGAACTTTTTATCAAATTTGCATCATAATAATATTTCTCCTCTTAAGCTTATGAATGCAAATGTGGTGTAGTTTGAAAGTTTAGAATCAGCACTTTTAGCAGATTTAATTCACCTGTTTAAATGAGCTATGCATCAAAAAAATCATACTGAATTATGCTATTATGCTGTGTTATCAGTGCTGTCTGTGACTTCTAAGGGTTAAATAATCTTTAACCTCCCCCTCGATTTCCCCCTGAGCTTCTTACTAATTGCAGCAACAGCAGCACACCTTTGACCCACAGTATTAACCGTAGGCACGTGAACTGGCTGACAGCATGTACTAGGTCAATGTTCCTCAGTCCTGGTCCTGGAGTCGCCCTGCACTTCTTATTTTAGTGTTATCACTGCTCTCAACCAACCTGCTTAAACTCATCAACTAATTAAGTGGCCTTTCCTGAGTTGAACTAGCTGTGTTAGAGCAGGAAAAACACTGAGCTATGCAGAGCAGTGGTATTCCAGGACTAGGACTGAGAGCCACTGCAGATTATCAGAGCTATGTACTTTTGTTGAGAGACCAATTGTCCTCCCATTCTGATAACACAAAGCACATGGCAGTCTGTGTTGGCCAGAGTCTGGAAGCTTCTATAGGCTGTGTGAGGCTCCGCTGCTAAGTCAGGCCGCTCTGTCACATGCATGGAGCTGACGGATAAGCCTCTGCATTTGGCACTGAAGGGCTTGGGATGCCACTTGGCCACCAGTGACTATCCCAAGGGCTGCTGCCTGATGCTTTCCTCATATTATTACAGGCACTCTTTTGAATTCTTAATGAAGATCAAAATGGCTTGAAAAAAAAAGCAAGTCACAGACAACACATGCGACAGATATAGGCTCCCCTAATATATATAGCCCTGTTAGATTCCTGAAATACTGAACTCTATTACATACTAAGTCAATGTCAAACATACAGCGCATGTTGTGATGGACAGTGTGATGTGATGTTATTATTATCACAGTGAAATATGTCCAAAATGCTTTTCTGAACATATTGTGGATATTGTCACTATATAAAGGACACTGACCTACTTCATGTTTCATTAAAAGGTATATTAGTCCTTGTTAACTGGATTTAGTGCAGTATGTGAAATACATTTAACAACATATAATAATATAATAAAAAACATAATAAATGTAGCATTACAGAGCTCCATTTCGGTTCCAATCTATCACATCTCAGAAAAAAAAAACCCAAATATCATGATATGCATTATGTATTGTGAATATGCCCTTAAGTAGCATTGCCATTTCGCACCACCCTTGTCCTATGGACACTGCATGAGGTTTATATATCATACATCACAATCAACGTATTAGGGCTGCATGATATATCATTTGTTAATCATTAACCTGGTGCAGGCATAAGTATTGACATCACACAACCATGCAGATTCGTGCTATTGACAAATAACGACAATGTAGTCAACTACAATGGATGTTTTTTTGATGGGTGCTTTAGTTTGCAGTTAAAACAGTATATTAAACAGTACATTTCCTTTTTAGTAAATATAGTCCACTTAAATCATGCTGTGTCAGGTTTACATGTACAGATGGAACAATGCCACTTTTTCTTTTCTAATACTGATACCAATACTGAAACTTTGGCACTAATACGATATTTTCTTTAAAGCTACACCACATAAGATTTGGGGATTTGCAGACCTCTGTGATGGAGATGTGTAATTGCACACAAAGTTCAAAAGAACATTTTGTTACATCGGTTGTGTTTCCGACCCCTTCCCCGATGCCTCTAACTTTTTAATTATTTCAGGATTTAGAGGGAGACCCTCAGCAGTGCACACACCATATTTTGGTATTTTTTCTCCTGACTCAGTAATGTTACTTCTAAGTACTAAGGTTGCTGCTTTAAAAAGTACTATAAACTATAAACTTTTTTTTTTTTAATTGAAGCTCTTTACGTAAGATAAGCATGTAAAACTATCATACTCAAACTAATTAAACACTCTACTACCACGTAGGAAGAAACACGCAGCTAACAACAAATCAGACAACGTGAGTGTGTGCTATTTCCAGGGGTGCAAACTTGGTCTGACAAGTGGAACATTAAAAGGCTACAGCCTGTATACAACACTAGCACCACTGAAAAAGTTGCATATTTCATATATCAAGCTAGCTAAACAAAGAACACCAAGTGACCATATTCACATGATGTTTGATGCTTTACATGTCAATATTGAAACACATAAACAAACAATATTATTTACAGGAATTGCACTTGTGGACACTTTGAGAGGTAAATAAATGTGCGCATGTTATGTTTTCATTTACAAGGTCGCCCTCATTTTTAGCATGTAATGCCAAAGCAGTATGACTGATGTGGGACATTTCATGTTAACTATTCTAAATAACATAAGCTATGTACACCCACCCCCCGAATTTGCATTAATGGCTATTTCAGGACTTGATGCAGATACTCGGGATCAGATCAATGCCACCTCTATTTATAAGACATATTTTGGGTAAACACAGGGATATTAAATTTTATCTGGCCAGCACTACAATACTGATATTGCAGAAGACTGCAATATGTAAATGAGCTATCCAATCAATCAAAATGTTTTTACTGTGTGCTGCGACTAAGGACAGTTCCAGATGCTGTGGGTGTTCTGATGAACCACAGTATTCATGGTAATGCACCTGTTTTGGTCTAATGCAGGCTAATCTTCAGCTAGGTCACAATAATGGTTCACCAATGTTATTAAAGTATTGCAAGGCATATTATAAATACATAGCAATATAATCAAAACAGCACTATTTTGTCCACATTGCTGAAATGAGTGTATGCTTGTATGTTGGGTATCTGATGTTTGTAAGTGCAGATACGTGTCAGGTGGTCCGAGTGGTCTCTGTGTGAGTACTGCAGGTGAGATTACTGTAAACAGTACAGGGTGTCGTATGAGTGATTTTTAGGTTATGATTAACATGGGCTACGGCCTCAGCAGCACACCACTCTTTGCCGCCAGGTTGCCATGGATACAGTGGTGGGCTAAATACGTTATTGAGAATCTATTCTCTCTCTGTCTCTCTCTCACTCCCCTCCTTCTGCACAGATCATTTAAGCGTTTCTTTTCTTCTTTTTCCCCCCCGAATCATGATCTACTTTTCAAAACACATGCGCAGCGATCCCTCAGCATCCACCCAGCATCTTCTCTGTGCTCCTTTGTATAAGTTGTGACAGGATCAGCTGCTGTAGCATTCTGGTGAATAGTACTTCTCTTTCTGAATCAAATCCTGAACATTCTGTCCTACACGGCAAGTCACCATGCACTGCCCGCATTCTGTAAATAATTCAAAGGCTTTTCAATTCTTAAACAGTCTTACACAATATTCTTGCTGGAAATCTGTATCATTTGGAAGAGTTCTCCTTCCAAACAGAGCCTGTGCTTAACAACAGGCAGAAGCCTTCTCCCTCTCCTTGTCCTGCCAAAATCAGGTGTTGTGAAAGAGGACAGTTTAGAAGGGCTATGAAGAGCTTAAGCAGCTGTTTCTGTCCAATCATCAGTGCGGTTTCACACATCAGAGATCAGTGAGATTTCAGACAGGGCTTTTAATGTGCACCACACACACACACTTAAGTATAAACAGAGCAACAGCACAAAGCATACAAGTGCAACACCACTCCGATCTGTCTAAGGTCTTCCTCAGCTGAGACTTTTCAGACTGATCACAGACACACTATTGATTGTCTAGCGGCAGATCACAACAGCCAGTATGTTCACATTAAAACTGTTTTCCTTTTTTAAAGCTACATTTACGCAGATACGCTCTAGAAACGTAGCATCCAGCTCGCATCCACACAAACACTCCACAGGCAGGCCAGACAGTAAATATCTTCTCCACAATCGCATATACACACACAGCCTGGCCTGGTTTTCCGTCCCTAAAACCCCCCCCCCGCTGTCTCCGGTTCCCCACCCTGTTGGTGTGAAGCGCCATGCCGGCTACCTTTCTCCTTCACCATGACCATTGGCTCCTGCTGCTCTGCTCACACTGCTGCTGCTGCTGCTGGGGCTGGAGAGAAGAAAACTGCTGCTGCTCTACTGCCTCCACTGAGTCTTCACCAGTACAGAGAGAGAGAGAGAGAGAGAGAGAGAGAGAGAGAGAGAGAGCAGAGAGGGGAGAGAGAGAAGGGGAGAGAGAGATAGAGATAGAGAGAGATAGAGAGAGAGAGAGAGAGAGAGAGAGAGAGAGAGAGAGAGAGAGAGAGAGAGAGAGAGAGAAATGAAGGTAGAGGAACAGATAGAGCGCTACTCCTCTCAAACTAAGCAGTCACTCAGCTCTGTGGGACTGCTCATTTAGTCTCCGTTTCTTGAGCCTTCCCCTTTTTCTCCCACCGTGCATGTGTGTGTGTGTGTGGACTCTGCCCTCGCTGAGCTGAAATAACCAGGTTGCAGCTGCCGTGTGTGACAAATGCAGATTCCATAGCCATAATCCCTCCCAGTCAGAGACACCACCTTAAAATTCTTCAAAAAGACAGAGAGGGGAGGGCTGTGCACATGAGACTCCTTTTATATTCCCCACTACTCTCTCTCTCTCTTTCTCCTTGTCTGTGTCCCACTCTATCTCTCTTTCCTTCTTCTAGTGGGTTCTCCCCTCTCTCTCACCCCCTCTCTTTTTCTCTCCTCTCCTTATTATCTCTTTCATCTCTTACTCTCTTTTTTCTCTTTCTCTCTCTTCTGTCACTCTTTTTCTTTTTCACTCTCCCTCTGTCTCTTGCATTCTTTCCTGTCTTTCTGTTTCTCTCTCCTATATCTTTTTGTCTGTCTTTCTCTCCCCATTTCTCTCTCTCTCTCTCTGGCTGCTTGTCTGTCTTTCTCTCTCGTTGTTCAGTACATGATCTTGCTTGCTGAGTTTACCTTAGTTAGTAAGTGCTGACTATGTATCATTATGTGTAGAGCTTGATCCCTAAGGAGAACTGTCCCTCCTCTGGAAAACAGTTACATATCAAATAGTTAGGTCAGTTACTTAGTGGAAGATGCACCAGGCAATAGAAATGTATAGTCATATTTATATGTCATATTTATACGACACAAAACTCTGTATCGTAGATATGGTCAATTTAAAGGAAAAATCAAAAAATTGAAGGTCAGTTGGTTTGCATTGTATATGCAGTGTATATACTAAATAATAAGCCTTTGGATGGAATAAATCTGGGTTTTTACAGGAAAGTTAACATGTTCGTGTAATGTTTTTATTTGTACATGATTTTGCACCATTTCTATTGAGCTATTTAAAAGACTGCTGCCTGCTTTATTTAAAATGATGTTTAAAAAAAACTAAAAGAAAAACGAGTTATAAGGATTTGAAATGACAGTAATGATATAGTAGACCATATACGCTGTATGTAAGAGTGAGAAGGTTTTTGAGCCACTGCCAGGCCTCTCTGCCCTATTCTGGCATCACGGTGGTAGATTATAGGATTACCAGGCCAACAATTGAGTTTGGGAGTTGATTGAGAGGCGTTATTAATGTTGCTAGCGTCTCTAGGGTTGACTGTGTGCTGAGGGAATGAGGCCACTCTGAGGAATTACCCAGCAGCCTCAGCATGGCCAAAACAAGACCAAACAAAAGTGGCTGAGACTCAGGCTCCCCCTCCTCATTGCCTCGTCCCCTCGTCTCCTCGTCTCCTCATCTCTGTCTCCACTGCAGTACAAACACTCTGGGAGAGCTAATGCAGAGCGACTGTAGTCTGCTCTGAACCAGGCATGTTTGATGGTGTCAGAGAAGATGAGCTGAATTTCAGATACAGGATAAGTGTGTGTGTGTGTGTGTGTGTGTGTGCTGGGGTGTACGGGTGTGTGTCTGAAAATAGGGGGATGGGAACTATCAGACAGCAGGTGCTGATTTTAGAGTAAGGCTTACAGTGCTTCTACACACACATGCACACACGAGTTTCTGTATAAAGATTCTGTTGAAGTAGCAATAATTAACTCTTTAAGGACTAAGCCTGAAAGTTGCTTGTTACTTTTAACTGCAATGTAGTGCTTTCATACACTATCTACAAGTGTTTTATATCATCTGTTTCAACAGAAACTCTACCAAATGTTAAAGATGAAAATAGTATGCAAATGCAAAAAAAAATCTTTTTCACATTTTGACTGAACAACAGCTCAAAAACAATAAAAAACTTAATTATTTGAAACGTTCAACACCATGAACTTATGTAAGCCACAAAGTCATGATGTCTCTCTTGAAGTCATGAAGTCTCCTCTTCAAACAAGGTGCTGTTGATTTTCTAAAAAAGTTAACACATTCTTTACAGATAGCAAACTTACTATTTTTGCTGCTAATTTTAGTGCATTGATATGGATTATAAAGAGGCCATATTCTACATTTTTCTTCTATTTTATTTTTGTTCCTGAGGTCCACATATAATGGTTTTCTGTTTTTATGACCCCAAAACAATCATCATTCATTTTAACATGACTATTTTACCACCTCCATTTATTCCTTACAATTTTTGTTACTGTGCCTTTAAGGCAGATATATGCAAATGAGCTCTGTTCTGATTGACTGCCTTATACTGTGCTTCATTCAATAAACAGTGGGAAAGGGTGGGGCTAAACTGCTGCAGGCTGAATAGGCAGACATACGTAAAACTTTCGGTTTCTACAGCTCAGTTTTCATTTATAGACTGGGGAGTGAACTGTATGTTTTGAAGCAGTTTGTAATAATATTTACATACTACATTAATCTCATTTATTTCTACAAAAAAGAGCAAAGATGATTTGGTCTTTCTTGATATGAGCCCTTTAACATAGAAAAAATTAAACAGAAGGTACACACTATGGCATAACTTTTGCATACACCACATTTTGTGGTTCATTTGTTTTTCTTTTATGTTAAAATTAGGAAATAAACAGTAATGGTGCATTAAACTATGCAGAAGTGTGTTCTCTGTAGAGGATATGAAATTAATTCTCACTTAGAAAATCAACAAAACATGTTATTTGAACAGCAGCACCCAAACCTTTATGCTCCTACTGGTGATGTGTATTGCTATCCATCTGTACAGAGCCACATCACACTCCTGCCAAGTGTCTCCAGCCTCCTCATCACTGCCCTCCACAAGCATGTGCAGTTTTTCAGCAGTCATCTTGAACAAAACGTTGTTTCTGAAAGGCTGTTGTGAAGTCCTTCAAAAGTTGTGCTGGACCCGCCTGGACCTAGCGCCTCAATGTGCTGACTATGTCGACATAAAGCTTGTCGTTAAAGTGATACTAGAGACCTTCATATGTATCACTATTAGGACTGTAATGATTCATGAAACACATTATTTGGTTCAGTATTGCACTGCTGTGTCTCAATATGATACAGAAAAATAAGGAGTGGCTGAGAATCTCTGTTATTTTGTTAATGATTCCATATTCATCTTATTACAGCATTCAATATAAAAAAAAAACACACAGTGCTTCTCCAGAATGTCCTATCTACTTGTTGGGCCTTCAGATTTCTTAATGGCTTGTCTACAATTCATCTGATTGTATTCATTCATGTTGTTGCTGGTCATCCTTTTCCTCTTTTACCTTCAACTGTTCCAAGACTAAATGTCTTTTCCAATAAATTCTTTCTTACATTATGTCTAAAATAAGCTTCAGTTTAGTTTAATCTAAACTGTCATCCCTTGTCGTCCAAGGTACTCTCAAAAGCCTTCGCCAACGCCAGAAATTTAAGGAATCAATATTTTCCTGTCCTACTTTTTATTGTAACATCCATGTAGAAGAAGACAAGTATAAACATTGGTGTTTTATTGGTGATACTTTTGCAAATAGCATTAATGTGGCCAAAAGATGTATCAGCTGGGCTCTAGTACAGGTACAACAAAAATCAGTTTTGCCAGTCTCAGTGTCTCTTTACACCTTGCATTAACATGCATTTTTGGTGGTCAGCTCATGTTTGGATTTCACTTGACTGCATGAAAGGCCAGAAGTAAACACCCGTAGGACGGACTGCTTTACGATCAGATCACTCAAACCACATTTGGAGGTGATCAGATACGGATCTGAACACATATGTAAACATCAACGTGTTTACATATTTAATCTGTATACAATTACACAAGCAGAAATGCGTCTGCTGAGCGCTGATTAAGAGGTGAGAGGATAAACAATGAAAAGAAAGATGGAAGATATGTGAGGCTAAAATTAGCCCCAAACCAAATCTTATCTGGGTTTTTCATCATTGGTGGACTGCTATCTTATCCATGTATGAGGGAACTGCCTTGCCTATAAATGATTGATCTGCCGAATGAAAATGTAATTGCAGTAATGCATTGATTCCATTGTACAGTCCAGTTGATCAGTATAACACCAACACAAGTCACCATGTGCATCCATGTGAATCGTCATTCACATATTGCAGAGCTATGACCAGCTCTTACATGTACAGTACGAAGCCCCGCTGGACTACAGCTTATTTTCATTCTCTTCAACCATCCAAACTATTCCAGCTCACAACTCACAGTTACCAAGCCTACACACCAGTAAAAATGCTGACACATGAACATTCGCCAGGAAAAATCACTAGCAATAAAGTTCTGAATTGCTTTTCACAAAGACAAATCCATACGCACGTCTTCCACTGTCGGCATCAGCGTTTGTTATGTGGCTGCACATGTGGCCAGCGATATCCTAAGACTATTGTCTGTAATCTGAATGGCCGGGTCCTCAGCTTGTTTGAAGCTGGGATTTACAGTAAGAGGATTACTTTTCATTTTTTCCTGTGTCTTTTATTTCCTGGAGGTTGTGATGGAAGACAGGGAAAGAGCATGATTGAGCATGTGCCAGTGTACAAAGGGTCAAACAGCAGTGGGGGCGAGGGCATGCTTGTTTTTTTGCTACCGAAACTTCTCTTTGTATGCTGCATGCCCTTCTGTGCACACCAAGTGTCAAATAAACACCAATGTGGAGGCAGTCAACCACAATTCAACATACCAAGCAGTCCACTAGGAGAGTTTTATGAAGTATCAAAAGATACAAAACATCTAAAACTAGCATTCAGAAAAAGTGGATCCATATCAATACTGATACTGATGTTCATCATTCTCATTAAATCA